TTCAAGTTTTGGTTATGTTGTTAGGCTTCAGGTTTCTACACCTGTTTAGATATATCCAGGTTGAAGTGGCCATTTTATATCCCTTTCTGTAGTTTGTATCTTTGCTTTTATGATATTTATTAAGAAGGTTTTTACACTGTACATGTTTTGTTTTTATTTTTTTGTTTTTATTTATTCACTCTCCAGAGTCAGCTTTGGTGAAATGAGAGGCTATATGAATGTGATTAATAAAGTACTAAATTCTGGCTCTTATTTTCGTTATGAAATGTGAGTGTCTTGCTTTTTAATTAGAAGTATCTTCTCAAGTATTTTCCAGCATAAATCTTTAGGTTTCAAATCTCCAAGGAGAGATTTAGTATTAGAAAGGAAAAACTGTCACAGAGGCTACAGAGTGATGGAGAAGGGAAGCAGGCAAACAAAAGTAAAGATGGAGATGGGGGATCTGAAATGTGTGTGGGGGGGAAGCAAAACTTTAGTATTTCTTCCAATGTACATCCATAATGTTAGCTCAAAAATCACCATCTAAGGAAATTCAATGAAATGCTAAACTTTTTAGAGTGAGGGGATGAAAAAGCAAAGTTTCTTTGTTCTGAAAACCAAAGAGCATATGCAGACACATTGGTAACAAAGAAGATCAGAGCTTAAAGGACTAGAAAAGGAAACAAAAAGAATCAGCTTTGTTCAGTTTTATTTTAACATTTATTTTAACATTGTTTTTGAGAGCTACAAGCAAGCTCCCTCCTTTTATCTTATTCTAAAGAACTCATTCCAATTCAAGGTTAAAAATTTATAATAAGTGCAAAGTTTATTGCTTTTCTACCTTTTTCCCAACATTACAAACTTCCTCACTGGCATGACTATTCTATGTTACCAGATTGTACTGAAAAAGGCTCTGTAAATAGAACTCAGTAAAATAAATACAGAAGCTGTCAGTTTACTACTTCTCTTTTTTAAAGGAAATAAAAAATTCATACCTTGCCAACGTTCTATGAAAGTTTGTATAATAACCTGATGATATAAAAACAATAGTGCAAACGAAAAAGAAACATTTCTGAATGCATAAAGCTTCCATGTATGCATTTAAATCTATCTCAAGCTGTATTCTGATTTAAAGGAAAGATTTAATTTTGCTAAAATCCATAGTTGTAAAAAAATAAAAAGGCTTAAAATAAAGAAAGCAATATTAATTTACATTGCAGTGTGTGTATGTGTGCATGTATGTGTGTATGTCAATGGTGAAATCTAAAAATTTTCCCTACTGGTTCTGTGAGCGTGGCTTGATGGGTGTGGCTTGGTGGTCATGTGACTGGGTGGGCGTGGCCAACTCAATGTCACTCAGGTCAAGGGATGCCTCGTCTGGCCCCTCCCCTCCCAGCCTTTCCTTGTCACACCCAGCATCAACATATCTATAGTTTTGTAAAAATGTTGTTCACCTTTTTTCAACTTTATTAACTACATACTATAGATGTACTTTCATGGATCATTGAAAGGAGGAAATGGCTCACATGCTTTGCCCAAGAGTGTGATAGGCAATAGGCTTTTAAGGGGCTGCCAGAAAGAAGGGGGGCAATGTATTTTCCAAAGCACCAGAAGGCAAAACAAGAAGCAATAGATGGAAACTGAAGAAACAGAGTGCCTGGAGGCTGTACGGGTCTGGATGGGGAGGAACAGGCTCAAGCTCAACCCTTCCAAGACTGAGTGGCTGTGGCTCCCGGCATCCCGATATAGTCAGTTGACTCCATCACTGACTATTGGGGGCGAGTCTTTGGCCCCCACAGAGAGGGCTCGCAATCTGGGAGTCCTCCTGGATATGCAGCTGTCCTTGGAGGAACATCTGACGGCTGTAACCAGGGGGACCTTTTGTCAGGTTCGCCTGATTCGCCAGTTGCGGCCCTTTCTTGATCGGGATTCCCTGTGCACAGTCACTCACGCCCTCGTCACCTCTCGCCTTGACTATTGCAACGCTCTCTACATGGGGCTCCCCTTGAGGAGCACCCGGAGGCTCCAGCTGGTCCAGAACGCAGCAGCGCGGGTAGTGACGGGAGCAGCATGGCGCTCCCATGTAACACCGCTTCTGCGCGAGCTGCACTGGCTCCCAGTTGTCTTCCGGGTGCGCTTCAAGGTGTTGGTTATCACCTTTAAAGCGCTCCATGGCATAGGGCCTAGCTATCTTCGAGACCGCCTGCTGCTACCAACGACCTCCCATCGACCCGTGCGCTCCCACAGAGAGGGCCTCCTCGGGGTGCCATCAGCCAGACAATGTAGGCTGGTGACCCCCAGGGGGAGAGCCTTCTCTGTGGGGGCACCTACCCTCTGGAATCAGCTCCCCCCAGAGATAAGGAGAATCCAAGACCTCAGTGCCTTCCGTCGCGCCCTTAAAACCCATTTATTTAAACAAGCCGGGCTGGCTTAAGATGAAATTTTTAACTGTTTTTAAATGTTTTAAACGTTTTTAATTGGTAAATGAGTTTTAATTGGGCCAAATTTATATATCTTTTAATTGTTTTTAATATTTGTTCTGCATGTTTTTTAATCTGGCTGTACACCACCCTGAGTCCTCAGGGAGAAGGGCGGTATAGAAATCCAATATAAAATAAAAAATAAAATAAAAAAATAAACAGAGAAGCAACCTAAAACTAAGAAGTAGTTTCCTGACAATGAGAACAATTAACCAGTGGAACAGCTTCACTAGAAAGGGCTTTCTTTTGCTCCAGGAGAAAATCAGAATAAAGAACTGGGAAAGCCTTCACAGGAAGAGGCTTTTTTGTTCTGCTGTGGAAGAAAAATAGAAGACACAGAGAAATCTACCCTGGAAGAGGCGCTCTGCTTTTGCTCCACAGGAAGCAAAAGGCAGTTTCTTTTGAGGCAGTTTCTTAATTCAGGCAAGGTGGTTTGTAGTTTCACAACATTTTAAGGAGGTGATAATTGCTCTTGGCTGAATGCCCAGGCATCTCATTAAAGCTAATATTCCTTTCCCTGCTTGGCGGTGGGGTGGAGGACAGGAAAAAAAAGCACAGAAACTGTCCCTTTATTATTCTAGCTGAGGGCAAAGGAGACTAAGACTCATTTGCTGTTTCTTAGCTCAGCTGAGGCGACAATTGTTCTGCCGCGCGAATCAGCTGAGCTAATAAACAACAGAATATAGGAGAGGTGAGAGGAGGGGGAGGACAGGTTGGCAGAGCCAATCAAATTTATCCTTACCGGTTCTCCAAACCAGTCAAAATTTTCCCTACCCGGATGGCAGAACCGGTCCGAACTGGTAGCATTTCACCCCTGGTGTGTGTGTGTGTGTGTGTGTGTGTGTGTGTGTGTGTGTATACATATATACATATACATATATACATACACACACACATATGTATTGCAATATATGTATGTGTGTGTGTGTATGTGTTTGTGTGTTGGTATGTATTTATGTATGTATGTATTTGTTAGTTTGTTTGTTTGCTGGATGGTATTTACTCTGATAAATTGAATATCTTAAAGTATGATGAAGTTTAGCTTAATGCATAGTTCTATGGAGGCATTGGGATATAAATTATCCTGAAATTGGCCTATCAATTTTATAAAGAAACAAATAAATTTTAAGTTAGGATTTGGTATAAGAGATTGGTTCCCAGTCATAATTGACTACTATATATTTCAAGTAGCTATCTCTTTTATTACATATTCTCTCCTACATCATATCTGCATTTTTTTGTTTATTTTTTTTGTTTTTGATGCCTTTGTAATCCCATGTAAAAAATAAATTGTATTGAATAAAAAATGTGTATCCCATTAAATGTTATGCTTGCCGATGTTATCAAGCAGCTTCTCCGAAAATGCCCGGAAAACTAAACACTTCTATAATGGTGACTACCTGGTGACCACCTGGACATGTTCTGCAATTTTCCTGGCAATATTTTAGAAAGGATTTGCTATTGCCTACTTTCTAGGAATGTAAGAGAGAAACTGGCCTAAGATCATCCAGCTGATTTCATGCCTAAAGTGGCACTAGAACTTAGAATGTTCAGGTGTCTAGCCTGATTCCTTTAATCACTACAAATCAGTGGTGGGTTTCTACCGGTTCGCCCACCCACCCAGATGTCATCAGGGACGCTCTGCGCATGCGCAGAAGATTCTGCACATGAACAGAAGCATTGCACACACACACACACACACACACTCACAGTTCCAAACCGGTAGCAAAGGTAAGTGAAACCCACTACTGCACCAAATGGTTTTCATATCTATTTTAGTAATGCCTAATACTTGATCTAAAATATTGTCCAGTGTTGAGAAATATAATTCAGCCAATTTCTCTGCCATTCCTTCTCCTTCTCCTTCTCCTTCTCCTTCTCCTTCTCCTTCTCCTTCTCCTTCTCCTTCTCCTTCTCCTTCTCCTTCTCCTTCTCCTTCTCCTTCTTCTTCTTCTTCTTCTTCTTCTTTTGCTGTAGGTATCTTCATATACTTGGTACATTTCAAAATCGGAGTGACAGATGAGGGTAAGTAGGGTAAGTATTAAACCTCAAGAGAAACATTTCATATCAAGGAATTCACTTCATTCCTCAAATGTAGTTTAGTATGCCTAGTGATCAAAAGTGTAAAGCAACACACAAATTCAAGCTGAGAAGAAACAAGAGATTTTAATTAGAATATCCCTATGTGTAGGATCATTTGTATAGTGTAGCAATTAAAATATTGAACTTGGACTAAGAACGTTAAAAATCAAATCCATTCAAAAATCAAATTCACTGGGGAACTCTCTTTTTATCCTCAACTTGAATTCAGGGAATAAAATAAAGAGACGCTCCTGAGTATATCACTAGAGCTCCTAAATAAAATGCATATTATAAAATCCATCTATCCATCCATCCATAATGCAATTATATTTGTGAGAAAAGAAACTTTAACAACTGTTTCTCTTTTACTAACTGATTTCTTCTCAATGTCAAGTCCCCCTTATCAGATATGATTTTGTTCTCCATTTCTTTCTAGAAGTCTGTTGCAGAAGAACTTTTACCTTGACAAACAGTTCATCTGGTCCAGCTGCCTGATAATATTATATACACAGAATAAGGTATGAAAGTAACACACATACAATAAGAATCATTGTGACATTTTATTTTATAAGTTAGAAATAAAATAAAAATTGGGCAAATATCCTACCTCTTTTGAAATGAATTTTTTTCTGAATAATGTAGAAGCCAGAAATCATCAATTTTATGCACTTATTAAATTCAAAGATGCAAAACATTGTTGATGTATTGAGTTTATATCTCCTTCTTGCCTCATTCCCTAGAATGTAATAAAGGTCATGATATGTAAACAGAAAATAGAGCCCTAAAGCTTATCTGTAATCCCATGTAAAAAAATAAATTCTATTGAATAAAAAAAAGTGTATCCCATTAAATGTTATGGTTGCCGATGTTATCAAACAGCCTCTCCAAAAATGCCCTGGAAACTAAATCCTTCTATAATCAACCTTTTCATTCAGTCCACTGAAATGCTTATATTGAAAGCCACCTTTATAATTTGTTGCTGTTTTTTAGCACCACCTAGTGAATGTACCACTTGCCATTTATTCAAGGACTTCAATGTTACTCTTAATTATTCAGCAATGTCATATTATTTTTGCTATTCATGAACAAAATTGGAAAAAATCTTGGTTTGTTATCATGTTTGTTGTTCTGATGTATAAATAATTTTGAAACAGAATAAGAAAGCATAGAAATTAAAGTTATTTTTCTCCTAAGAAACAAGATCTAGAATGAATTAAAATCAGAAAAGAAATATTTCAGATGAAACTTACTTAAACCCTGACTGTTGTAATTTTTAAAAAAAAACTATTTTAAAATGGACTCCTCCATTGTATTTTTCTAGGTGACCCTTTTCAGTGATCTGTGATGTATTGTGCCAGCTACTGTATGGATGCTTGAAGAATTCAATAACATTGGGATATAAAACATAATTTTAGTTGATCAGTTTAAGAGACTGAAACTTGTCAGAAAAAGTGCCAGTTGTTTTATACTTGAAAGTAAGTCATACTTGCAATGCCTTTCCTTGGACATCTCTTGCTTTCTCTTATTTTTCATAATTGTTTCCCATAGTGGTTTCTGAATTATTATGAAATTTAAATGCATTCTGGTGTAAATTTAATCATTTCCTGTAGACCCACTGTTTCTAAAAAACATATATTTTCCCACACCCACCCACATTCAAACAAAGCAGGAAAATTATAAGTCTATTATACTGTTTTAACATCCCTCTGTAGTTTCACAGGAAGATCAATTTTCATATGAAAGGAAGTCTTAAAATCAGGATTACATTTCCTATCCTTTACATTTTTTTCCAATGCATGTTAGGTCATCATACATTTCCTGAACAATAAAGAATATATATAATAAGGTTAAGTATAAATAGATTCATTTATTTAATTCTAAGGGAACATGTCCACAAAAAGCTAGTGAGAACAGAAAAAGACCATTTTTTTTGTCAGAAATGATTTCTGAGAATTTATTTTATTTTATTTATTTGTTTGTTTCCATTTCTATACCGCCCTTCTCCAAATAGGACTCAGGGCGGTGAACAGCCAAAGTAAAAAACAGAGCATATAAAATTTAAAAACAGTATTAAAATAATTAAATATTTTGGCCGTGAATTAAAACAACCCAATTTAAAATCAATTTAAAATTTAACTCAAGCCAGCCCAGCTAGTTGAAATAAATAGGTTTTCAGGGCCCGACGAAAAATCCGGAGGTCTGTTATTGTACGTAACTGTGGGGGAAGGTTGTTCCAGAGGGTGGGCACCGTCACAGAGAAGGCTCTCCCCCTGGGGGTCGCCAGCCAACATTGTCTGGCGGACGGCACCCTGAGGAGGCCCACTCTGTGCGAGCGTACTGACCGGTGGGAGGCTATTGGTGGCAGAAGGCGGTCTCGAATTGATTTTTTTTTCACCCTCCTTCAGAGGATGGAGAAAGAGTTGAGAGAAATAGTTAATTTGTTATTATAATGCTGGAAGTATCATAAATTTAGGGAAAATGAATAAATAATGTTGGAGTTCTTGATTTTAAAAATTAAATGTAATGTAATGTCTGAATGTAAACAAACAACTGTATTTGCTTTTTTAAAAAATAATAAAGTCAGAATATGATGTAATATTCTGTAGAAGGACAAGATAATGGAACCAATTACTCAGAGAAGTGGCAGTATTCCCTTGTTAAGTTATATTCAAGTGGAATCTAGAGAGTAATCACACCACATTTTAATTTCTTCATAGACTAAAAGACTGTAAATTAATCTCCTATGTGGAAGACAGCATGCTGAACAAGAAGGACAAAGTGGAACATGATAATGGGTAAAGCAATTAACTCTGTTGTATCTAAAAGTAAACTGACTTGAACAGAAGAAATAATCATGTCAACAGCATCTTAAAAGTAAATGAGTAAAATTTGCCTTATTTCAAACGTCTTAGAATCTTTTTGGCATGTTTTTTTTTTTAAATAAGAGGAGCATTGGTAAATAAAAAATCCTGAGAATTAGTAATAAATGTCCTTTCTAAGAAAGAAACGCATTCAAAAAGAGCTATTTGTTTATTTTTAAAATAGCTAACATAGTAGATATACACTGTTGCTTTGACCATTGAATGTTCATCTTCTGAGTGAATTTAAAGGTGCTAGTTATTGTTCATGACACAGATCAGGGTCATTTGCAGGGCAGCCCATCTCCTATTATTTCTGCCCATGCCACAAGATCCAAAAATCAGGTATGCTCAAGATTTCTTCTATGAAATAATGGCATCTGATGGGAACCTGGAGATATGCTTTCTCTGTCATGATAAAATGGTAGACTCTCAAAATTTGAAAGACGGATCATCCTGGTCTTTCTTAAGGTGTTTAAAATGTGTTTTTCCTCTCAGTCATTGGGCCAAGGTGCTAGATAAAACTGTATTATGGATTTATTTAAGAACTGCCTCAAATGAATTATTTTTTTTGTTCTTTTAGAATCTGTTTTTTATGTTACTATTATTGTTTAATCCAATATTAGCTGCCCTAGCTCACATTTTGTGACTGAGTGGGTACTATAAACAATAATTTGATGCCTACTTGTATATCTTTTTAGCTGTCTATCTGTCTGTTCTTATTTTGTTTTTCTTGTCATAATATACATCCCCTAAAACAGGAGGGGGGGGGGAATCTGGCAAAAAAATAAATGTTCTGTCTCTTTCTCCTTTTACCCTGATGAATATGTCCTGTCTGTGTTTTTCTATTTGTCATGAATTATCTCATTATCTGAATTTAACACTAAATGGAGAGGAAAAATTAAAAACCAAGTTTGTAGCAAGACCCTAGCTAGAAAATATTTTGATTTTTTTCATCTCAGTGATTATATTTGCCATAATCATTTGTAGGATAAAGTCTAGTTTCCTGCAGTGAAAATAAGAAAAACCCGTGCAGTTAGTAAAATAATACATATGTAGTAAGGAAATGTTTTTGAGGGTAGCTGCCTGCATTTAGTAATATGAGACTCAATGAGCATACATACGGTTTCAATTTAGCAATAGCAATAGTATTTAGTCTTATATACCACCCTATAGTGCTTTACAGCCCTCTTTTGGTAGTTTACAACGTAGAAGCATTATTTGCATATTGCCCCCCCCCCCCAACATTCTGGGCCTCATTTCACTGATCACAAAAGGATGGAAGGCTGAGTCAACTTTCAGCCTCTTCAGGATTGAAATCCAGGCTGTCGGTTGAGTTTGCCTGCAATACTGCACTTTAACCACTGTGCAACCAGTTCTATATTTAACTGGGAATGTTTCATTTTCATGTATTTTGTGAATTATCTACTCTTTGCACACAATAAGATCTTTTTTATGTATATGAAGCGTAAATCTCTGGAATATGTTCCCTGTATACTTAAGGAAACTAATCTCTTTGTTAAGGTTCCAAAAGGCATTGCCAACTACCAATGATTCTGGACAGTGTCAGCAACCCTAAGCAGTTAATTTGGATTAGGTTCTTAGTGGGAAAGAAGAATTTTGATCAATATCGGGGCCTCATGTCTGCCATTATTGATTATTTAAAAACTAATCATGCTGTTCTCCTTAATAATATAAAGATAAATATTGGATTTTTATCATCTATAGCAGGGGTGTCAAACTCATGTTGGCATGGCTGTGTCACGTGACATATCAGAACTTTTTTCCCCTTCGCTAAACCGGATGTGGGCATGGCCAGCACATGATGCATCCAGCCTGAAAGCTGGGAGTTTGAAAGCCCTGATCTATTGGATTTCCATATCTCGATCTTGTCCTCCACAAGACTTTTATACATTTTGCCATATGTCATCTGAACAATCTTCATCAACAAGTTAATTACAATCAGTAGTGGGCTCCACTTACCTTCGCTACCTGTTCGGGACTGTGAGCGTGCACGGCGGTTCTGTGCATGCACAGAACCTTCTGCATATGCACAGAGCGTCCGTGATGACATCCTGTCAGGTGAGCAGAGCCTCCCGCCATCACCACTACCGGTTCGGTCAAACAGGGGCGAACAGGTAGAAACCCACCACTGATTACAATGCTAGCCTTCCATAGACTAAACAAAACCCACATATGTATTGCAACTTTTAACTTTCTAGGAAAGAAAGTTCATGGACAGGTACAAAACAGAAGCTGAAAGATTAATACAAAGCGTTGTTCATCTATCCCTGTTCCTTTGATTCATTTTCTGTTGAGAATACATTTTCACCAACAAATGCTGATTTTAATGATTCAAAGTTATGTCATTGTAACATTGTAACAGGTACAAAATAAATCCTTTTTGTTCACATAGCTGCTGCAGCAAAGTAGAGAAATGTTATAGTCATTCTTTAGAGTTATGATAGCACAGATATCTTCGTTCAGCATTATATCAAAATTCTGATTCAAATCATACTTCTTAATTAATATAAATTATGCAATTGATGTGAAACATTTTGTCATCCCTGCCCCCCAAAAACATGGTAGCCCTAAAATGCCCAATTGCTTTCTCTGCTGAATCTCTTTAAACCCACCCAGGGATGTTTTGGGTATCAAATCTGTTCTAAAAAGCTGCCATTCATCTGTTCAGTTTAATGTAGGCTCAGTGGGAGCTGCTGTTATTGGTTAAAGGCAATGCCACTGTCACTTAAAAAATGAGAAAAGAAAGGCAGCCTGGCCCAGGCTAACTGTGTCATTAACATTCTGTCCATCTACAATATATCAATAGTATGCCAGACTTAATCATGTTTTATATACCTGGCTGACCACAGCAAATAGCAATCAGTGATATTTATTCAAAAAGGAACAGTGTTTAGCCTTTGTGTGTTTGCTATTCTTCTCAACTCCCAATACATAATATGCCAAGAATACCTATTAATCTTTTCCCCCACACAGCACTTCAAAACTCTCTATTTTAAAAATGGTATTGTGGGAGAAAATTGAGAAGTTTTGGCATTTTGTCCAGAAATTAGAAAATTTAAGGTTCAACAGCATAATGTATATTTTGGGAAACATTAATTCAGTGGGTCTTTTCTTCAGTAAAAGGGCATACACCTGCTTGAAAGGAATTAGCTCTGTCGATAGAGCATAAAGTAATTTGGGCTATCAGAGTGATTTAATTTCAATCCAATTTTTAAAGAGAAAACAGAATTTGGTTGCCTAGCTTTTCCCCTACTCTCTGACAATCATGGCTAATTAAAATATATTTGTCTAACTTTGTTTAATTTCTCACTTTTACCTCCAAATTCATTGTCACTGAGGATTAAGATTTTTTTAATATCTAAACACCTATTATCATTAATATACTTCTTCCCTAATCTGATGTTTAGAGGCATTGGACTTCAATATATTTATTCCAGAGGTGGTATTCAGCAGGTTCTGACCAGTTCTGGAGAACCATTAGCAGAAATTTTGAGTAGTCTGGAGAACCAGTAAATACCACCTCTGACTGGCCCTGCCCCATCTATTCTCTGCCTCCCAAATCCTACCTGATTGGGAGGAAATGGGGATTTTGCAGTAATCTTGCCCTGCCATACCTATCAAGCCATGCCACGGCAACCAAGCCATGCCACAGCCACCAAGCCATGCCCACAGAACCGGTAGTAAAAAAAATTGAATCCCACCACTGATTTATTTCCCAGAGATATTATTTTTGAGAAACTGGATGTCTGGAAATTAAAGAATTTGACACCAATAAATTGTAAATATACTCTTATAGAAACAAATTAGCGTCATAATTATACTCCTACAAATGATTCAATAATGTATTGTTCACCTTACCCTAAAATAGCTTCATAACTGTAGATATATATCTGAAACTAAAGCAGAAATACTTCAAATCATTGCTAAAACAAAATAACATCACTGCAGTGAAAGTCTCACCCCTTAAAACTCTAAAGGTAAAATTCCAGAAGCGTTTGTGCTTCATGAAACTGTTTTTCAATGTGATCATTATCATTTTTTTTTACTTAAACTTTAACACATCAGGTTTTGGATCTTTTCTTCTAGTTCAGTGCCACTTGAACTATTAGCATGTTTATTTAAATATGAAGCCAATGTTTCCAACATTACTACTTTTTTGTACTCATTATATAGATATAAAATCATGCTGTGCAACAGAGATTAGCAAGACAAAATATTTTGTTCTATATTTTGTGCTGAGAACTGTGGCATGGATTTTTTCCTTCAAATGAGTACTATACTTTTTTAAAAAAGTAGATCTTAGTAACTGCCAGATGGAATTTTTTATTCTACAGAAAGATCCCTGAGGATTTTGGTCTGTGTCCTATTATCTTCTAATGGAAGTGGAATCTGTATAGTGTGTGTAAACTGTATCTTATCTGGCACAGTAGCAGAAAGTAAAAGATATTGATTTGAAGGTATACTTGAGGGACTGACATTTGCAGTACAATGGATTAAATTTAATGACAGAGTTAGCTATTTCTCAGCAGAAGATTTAGACATATCCCCCTGTTGATTGGGCATTATTCTGCAAAATAAACTCAGATATATTAAATGATTTTCTGACCACCTACATTGTATTTTCCCCAAATACAAAAATTGATGTCAACATTCAACATAAATGTTCTATGTATCCTATAAAATAAGATGCATAAAACATTGTTTTGCAAAAGAGATGGTTTAAGGGAAGAAAATCTTGACTTAAAGTATCAAGTGGTACTCTAGGATTTAAACAGACAAACACTTGCCACATAACACCCTAGATTTAACAATTGTTGATAAGAGGTCTGGACAGTAGGTTCTGCAATATCTGGAGACAGCAGAAGAGAAGAGAAAGAACTCGAGAAAAATAACAAATTATAAAGATCACTACATAGAAGTAGAATGACTGTGGCAAAAGAAAGCAAAGATAGTACCAATCGTAATAGGCTCCTGGGACCAATCTCAAAACAACTGGAGTACCACTTGAACGTCATT